CCCTGCTGGCCCGGACTACTTGGTTTAATGTGCCTTCTTTCTCACAAAGCTTTTAGACCGGGCTTTGGCTCCTAAGATCACCCTCCTTGCGCAAAATTGTTCGAATATCCTGATGCTTTAATCTTCCTAACAAGTGACTTTTACTCGCCAAACACCAGCAAGAGTCCTCGCTGGCAGTCTCGGCTGATACTCGAGTACAAACTATAGTGTGACATTACACACAGAAATCACAATAGCGTCATGCATCAAATGAACAATTAAGATTAAGGCGCGTCTGGGATCCTCTCGGACGTAGGTTCGAACCCTCATCACGGCCCTTGTGGATTTGTTCACTATAGTGTGACACGTTGGACTAGCAGCGCAGGCGTATCACGCTGCAGCTTTAACCAATCATTCTATCGAATCCAGATTTTCCAGTCGTTTGAATTTCGACCTATCCATTTTCTCCAGTCCGAGATTTTAATTATACATTTTTTTTTTTACATTTTGTTCTGTAATCTTAATTCTTAAATTCATTTCAAGCCTCTACGGAGTCAAAAGTCGGTTTCATTCCTCTAACAAAAGAACGCAATTACAGACTCCGAGAGAGAGAGTCGCTTTAGCGTCCGTTTATCCGTTTGAGTGTTCACTTTGTTGTTTAAGATTTAGCTACTCAGAACGAAGGGTCTATGTAGCACGGGCTACGGTGAGCCCGTAAGTGTTCACTTTACACGGCGGCTTTTAAATAGTCACAAATTCCAAGAGCTAAGGTATCGAAGATCACAGAAAAAAACGCAAATCTCCTGATATCTGACTCTCGTGGGTCTTGATACTCTGCGGTCCCAATACTTGTGGCTTCTATCTGCTCACAGATGGAACGTGAGATAATTATAAAAAGATAGCGATAAGCAAGTGTGTATATATAGCACCTGAAAGGGAAATGAGGACAAGGAGTTAAGATATCAGGACGGAAAGAACAGTGCTCAACCACTTGGCAATAGAGATCGAACGCCAACCCTGAACGAATCAAGGTCGTAGCACGACGTAAGTGAATACTGATATATAATAAGTTTTGCTTGTTCTCTTTCGTTTAATGGTCCGTGAAACAGATAAATTCCGACTGGGCATAAAACTGACGAAGGGGAGGTAAGAAACGAAACATATTCGAGCAAACTCAAACAATATATGCTTTTGGAATTATTCACTGTTCTCGTTGAAACACTGGCAAGCGACATAATCTTCGACAGGTTAGTCGACTTCAATTGGGAAGGATGTGGAAATGGGTAGAGAGAGGGATGGGATGGTGGGGGAAGGGTGCTGGGATAGGTCAAGAGAGGGGAATGGGAAGAGTAAGAAATGGCTGATGAAGGGATGGGGGAAGAATGCCTGAATATATATATTTTTTACTGTTGATATTCCGCCCCCCTCCCACTCTTTACCTGTTGATATTCCACCTCTCTTTTTGTTGATATTCCTTTCCCCTCTTAGTTGATATTCCGGCCCCCTCATTTGTTGATATTCGGGACCCCCCTCCTTGTCTGCTGTTATTACCCCCAATCGATGAGAGCTGCATTAGCATCAGCTTCACCCACCGCTGCCCCAAGCACCACCACCCGGAGCACCGCCACCCCCAGCAGAAGCACCATCACCAGCAGGGGTCACGACGGCTAGGAAACACACTTAATACCTCGCCGCACTAATTCCTCGCCTTCAGCCTCCTGAGAAATAACTCTAATGGGCCCAGCAAACTGACTGACGCGTTATATGTCCACCCAACGGCACCGTTTCTCAGCTTCCTCAGCTGTTGCCTAGCTCTAAATCTTGTCCCTTTCCTTCCCTCTACCGCCATCTTCCGCTCTACCCACCACTTCTTTCTCCCTTACTGCCCTTTCCTTTCCCTTTTTTTTATCTTCCAACTACAGACTCTTCCTATTTTTCCTTGTTACCACAGTTATATCTTTATAATTGTACCTTCCATTTGCTCTCTTCCTCCCTATCCCCCTCTTTTATCTTCCTTTCTCCCCATTCCCTCTTTCGTCTCACTTTCTCCCCATCCCCATCTTTTATCTCCCTTTCTCGCCATCCCTTCATTCGCCTCCCTACTGGTTCTCTCACCTCTATCTCCTGTCCTATTTCCTTCCTCCAAGTGAGCGTCATCCGGCGCTGTACCGATGGTGTTCAATACTCCTCAAGTGTTATTGGACCTATGTTGCTGCTTCTGAAACTTTTCTCGTCGTACTGTCGTTGCCTCCCGTAGCGTGTCGTTATTCCGGAACAACGGACGTCATTTATTGTCAACTGTTAGTCTCTTACCATGTTTTCTGCGATGTTCCCTCCCGTTGCGTCTCGTTATTCCCGAACAACGGGCGTCATTTATTGTCAACAGTTTGTGTTTTGTCGTCTGCTTTCCCGTGATGTTATCGTGGTTCTTCGCTGTTGCTTCTGGTTCTAGCTGATAACGGGACACTTAAAGGGGAAGTTATTTAGTGCTTTCTCGCTGTTTCTATCTTCGTGTTTATGTCGAGAGGGAGACTGGTATTTTCTTTCAGCTGGAGCCTTAAACTTCAACTGTTTCTTCTTCAGGCTTTGCGCGTTGGTTTCGGCGTTGACATTGGCGGTGACACAGGTGTTGGCGTTGTGGTGGTTGTCGTGTTTGTCTTTGGTGTAGTAGTTTTTATCGTTGTTTTTGTCGCAGGTGTATAAGTGTTCTTGTGGTTGTGGCTTTGTTCATGTATTCTTGTGGGTGCTTTTGTAGTTGGGTGAGGTGTATATGTACGAGTGAATACTTGGTGCGGGTATTCGGTGTAGTCACCTAGTATACTCGCCTAGGGTGTGTGAACACATTAGGTGTATGTTTTTATGGGTGTGTATTAGTGGACATATTCTTGTGGGTGGGTGTTGTATGTGTTTATAAAGGAGATGAGAACTAAATATGTATTTTCTTCATTATGTCGGTATAAAGTGTAAACAAGAATGGCACAACGTTATATAACAAATTGCTAGTTAATAAACTACAGAATAGCTCTTTAGCGTATCCCACAACAAATTCATCGTCATACACACAGTGAAAACAAAACGTCATATATATATGAGAAAATACCTGGAGCAGGGCTGTGGGTTCGAACAAGCGTCCTGGGGTCACTCAAGACGTGCGCCTTACCAAGATATGGTTAAAAGTTACTCAACATAGATTCCGTCGAATTTCCTGCCGTTACGCAGGTTCAATCCCGCCGTCCTGTTCCTAAGCTTTTCTAATCCTCAGAATCACTTAGTTTTAACAACAGGAATCACGATGCTAAAAAAGCAGATCCGGGCCGTAATCGAACGAGTTGATGACACAGAATTCATCCTAAATCTTTACTATAATATCCGACTCGACAAAATTTCAGATCAAACACGCTCTGAAATTCAATAAAAGTACTAAGCGGGGCAAATAAAGATCATTTACAGAGGAGTTACTATTAAGGAGTATGCAATCATTGCTTTAACATTCGTGCTATGAAAAAAATCAATGCAAATAAAGACTTAACGAGCGCTGAAGTCCCATTATCTAACCGGAAAAGAAAAGATTTATTGTAAGTTATATTTTACTTTCTGTGTATGATTGTGGGGGAGAAGCTGGGTGCTGGGGGTGTACTGGGGAGCTGGGTGAGAGAGAAGTGAGGTGTTGGGGAGAAAACCGGGATGCTGGGAACGAGAGACCTGGGGAACGGGGGGGAAAGAGATTATGATCTGCCAATAGCATTAAATCCAGCGAAAGCAAATGATGGTAAGATTATTATATTAATAATAATTCTTAAAACATCTCTTGGACACTTATGGGCTAATCATGCCCGAGCCACCTCTTGGATGGCTTAATCTTCATCAATCGATAAATCATCTCTTGGACAAGACGTTGATATGGTTGACCTGAGAAGTAGTACACAACTTCTGGGAGAATTCCTGAACGTTAACAAAATCGCAGATGCCATTTAGCAAACCCCATTACAAACGACGTATCAATTATAATTTATTTGGATGACAAAATAATGTAAAACGAAATGGGTGAAAAGTCTAAGACTCCCTTTTCTTGTACCTGATGGAGGAAATATATATATGCTTCTAACTGTACCCAAAATTCCAGTTAACACTATTCATGCTATCACTCCTCTCACAAGTAAGTTGTATATCTTTAGATAAACGATACAAGTAATTAAAACTAAAATATCCTTTATGTCACACCATATCTGCCTCTTCACATGTGTGTGTTTGTGCTTGAGTGATTTTTTTTTAAATTCCATAGTTTTCGCGTCCTAATTTTGTGTCATTTTTTAGTAAAATTATTAAAACATTATATACACATTCACACAGTAAAAACTTGAAATTACATATGATATAGCCAAATCAATATTTAGTTATATCTTACTTTAAAATATAATCCAATTTCGTTAGTTTATTGAGAAACTCGTGGCTGTGTCTGTGTAATTCCAGAATGGAATCAAATAAATGGAATTCCTAAGCTTGTATTTTCCGCCAATCTGTGCGGGAACAGTGCAGTGCTGACGCTTATTGCTGCACCCGGACACTGGGGACACCAGGGGCTCCTTCTAAACACCCGCCTTCGTCAGTAATTGATACAGAATGTACTGGCTGCCATTGTTTTTACTTAACCGGGTCGCCTGTCACTGGTATTGTCCCCTGCTGCCAGCTAACCTTGGTAATTGAGAACTACCCTCGCCTGCATAACCGGTTTTCCTAACTTCCGACCTTGTCTTTTCTTCCCATCGTACAGGTCATCTCTCCAATAGACCTTCCCAGTCGACTTCCAGACTTTCCCGATCGTTTCCAGACCTTCCTGGTATCTTCCAGGCCTTCCCGGTCGTCTTCCAGACCTTCCTGGTCGTCTTCCAGACCTTCCTGGTATCTTCCAGGCTTTCTCGGTCGTCTTCCAGACCTTCCCGGTCGTCTCTCTAATAGACCTTCCCAGTCGTCTTTCAGGCTTTCCCAGTCGTCTTCCAGGCCTTCCCGGTCGTCTTCCAGACCTACCCTGTCGCCTCTAATAGACCTTCCCAGTCGTCTTCCAGACCTTCCCGGTCGTCTTCCAGACCTTCCCGGTCGTCTTCCAGGCCTTCCCGGTCGTCTTCCAGACCTTCCCGGTCGTCTTCCAGACCTTCCCGGTCGTCTTTCAGACCTTCCCGGTCGTCTTTCAGACCTTCCCGGTCGTCTTCCAGACCTTCCCGGTCGTCTTTCAGACCTTCCCGGTCGTCTTCCAGACCTTCCCGGTCGTCTTCCAGACCTTCCCGGTCGTCTTTCAGACCTTCCCGGTCGTCTTCCAGACCTTCCCGGTCGTCTTCCAGACCTTCCCGGTCGTCTTTCAGACCTTCCCGGTCGTCTTTCAGACCTTCCCGGTCGTCTTCCAGACCTTCCCGGTCGTCTTCCAGACCTTCCCGGTCGTCTTCCAGACCTTCCCGGTCGTCTTTCAGACCTTCCCGGTCGTCTTCCAGACCTTCCCGGTCGTCTTCCAGACCTTCCCGGTCGTCTTTCAGACCTTCCCGGTCGTCTTCCAGACCTTCCCGGTCGTCTTCCAGACCTTCCCGGTCGTCTTCCAGACCTTCCCGGTCGTCTTCCAGACCTTCCCCATCGTCCCTCATCCACACTTTCCATCCTGCTGTACAATCAAGTGTTATCAATCAATAAATAAGTTAGGTCACTAATATTGTGTTAGAATATCTGATTTTTTCAAGCATTTCATCTAAATATGCAATAGTAAAAGAATTCATAAAACCAATTCAAAAGAACGAAATATAAAATAATCACATTGCTTCCAGGTAAACATTTTTCAGTAGCGTAGCGATGAAAAAATCCGGGGAAAAAATAAATAATATATATACATATACACTACAACCCTCTGCCACTATATTGTGCACAGGAAAAAAAAGAGACATGTCTGAAAGCTCCACATAATACTTTTATTTTGTTTCTGCGTCTGTGTGATGGTCCGAGGCTTTAGTGGAGGTCTGGCTGAGGTTCCTGCATGGTAAGAGCCTAATTGTGGTATGGATATAGTGGCCAGTGAAGCAAAACTATCGGCGGCTCGGGTGAGCCAGTGGTCCATTTGCAGCCGTAATGGGTGTGTGTGTGTATGACCCCTCCGAGGCCAGGGTAAACTTTCACAGCCCTTCTGGGATGGTGGGGAATGACCTGTGCTAATGCTGTCGTGCCACGAAGCGCTGCCCGGCGGGGGATGAGGTGGTGGGGGAAAAATGATGGTTGAGGTGAAGGGGTGACCCAGGCAGTGGTGATGTGTGGGTGCGGCTACACGCTCAACTATCAGCTTCAACTTCAGAAGCTGCAACGTTTGAGTCTTCCATTACATAGAGGAAAATCTCGGCAAACACAAAACGTTGTAACCAAATTATTAGTTTGTTAAAACGTAAAAATATTGTCCTTGTTACTTTGTGTCTTTGTTGGGATTTACTTTGCTTTGTTCTTGTTAAATCTGCACGTTAGTTGGTTACACCGTGTTCGTAGTAAAGACTTGTTTCAACCTCTAGTTGTATATAATTGTAGCTTTCACAGTTGTGTCACTAGAGAGTACATAAATCTCTTCTCTTTGGGATTGTGACGTTCTAAAGCTTCGGGATTGTTTAGAAGACTGGAGATTTAAATTTACTTAAAAAATGTTCCAATACTTGAGTGACAGGCAAGCAAGATAACCCTTACCCTCGTCCATTTTGTTTTTTCAGACACAGAAGTTTAGTTTGAGTTGTATTGACAGCTGTGACCCCCCAAACAGCTGTAGTCGATGACCCCCTATCACAGCTGTCATCGATGAAAACCTCACCACAGCTGTAATCAGTAATCCCCACCAATATGATCACCTAGAAACACATTTTGGAATCTAACACCTTCAGAACATCCTGTCCTCAAATTGCATAACATGACGTTATCGAGGCTGTTACTCGATAGTCGCCCAAGCGTCAATATTGTGGTGCTTTTCATTGTGCCAGAGCACCAAGAAAAGTTGAATTTTGTAGTGGATAGCGTCGAAATTGCTAATCGTTAATTGTGAAAACATGTTAGAGGAAACACCATCATTGCTTGGCTGCCAGTCATTATACCAGGCAGGTTAGATTAGGGTAAGGTAAGGTAAGGTAAGGTAAGGTAAGGTAAGGTAAGGTAAGGTAAGGTAAGGTAAGGTAAGGGTTAGGTAAGGTAAGGGTTAGGTAAGGTAAGGTATGGTACCCCTGATACCCCTGTTACCTAGCAGTAAATAGGTACCTGGGAGTTAGACAGTTGCTACGAGCTGGTTCCTGGGGGGGGGGTTAACAAAAAGGAGGCCTGGTCGAGGACTGGGCCGCGGGGACGCTAAGCCCCGAAATCATCTCAAGATAACGGTAAGATACGGTATGGGTAAGGTAATTATTAGGAAAAACTGATGAGCCATTACGACTACACAGTATAGCACTTGGAAAGGGATTAAAATAATAATTTGGGATAGAACAGAGGAAAGGAATGGTTCCCAACCGCTTGGATGGTCGAGGATTGAACACCGACCTGTAAGAAACAAGACCGTTGCTGTATCGTCCAGCTCAAGCGGTTGGGTGGTAGGGTTAGATGAAGGTAAGGCTGAGGTAGGGTAAGGTAAAGGTAAGCAAAGGTAATGGTAGAGTAAGGTTAGGTTAGAAAGCTTTGAATACACTGATAAATCTGATAAAGAAGGGAGAACGAAAGAGACCCTGCAGAAGAATGAAGAATTGATATGTGCTTGACAGGACAGCTTCGTTATTATAAAATTCTGAATACAGGCATTTAAAATACAGATGTAAAAATATACACCAAGAACATTTGATATTTTAAATCTTTAACATTTCTACACATGAAAAATGGTGGCAGAGAAACGCAATAAAAATACACTGATTGCTGCTAGTGTTAACTGCATTTATCGAGGGCTCAATCATGTAGCACTGCTCTATGTAAATCAATTGACATGTATAGAAAAAATAAGTGGTCACACAGACACGTAATTTTTTAATGGTATCTTACTGACGCGGTAGTTACTCGACGACTGAGGGGGAAAGGTGTGTTTGGGGACAATGGCGCTCATAAATAAGGATTTGCACCTAGTTATAACAAATTATTCACATAAAGTTCTTATCTATATTATTTATCATAGTCAAAATCTTTTTGAGAATCAGTATGATATTAACTTCAGTATTATGTTAGTTTCAATAGGCTGAGATGAAAACTGGTATGAAAATAGGGTGATTGATCTTTTGAACAAATAACCGGGTGGCATAATAGACTTGGGATCACGTAATTATTTCAGGCGTAGGTTAGACTAATATGATATTAGTCTAATGAGTTTGGGGTGGATATGAATTAAGAACTACCTCGAATGAGGCAATAGGCCTTCTGCCGTTTTCTTTAATGTTTTAGTGTGTTCTTCAGCAACCCGGCCTCTCAAATAGGACCTCGCATTTTGACGTCCCTAAAGCCTAAAGCTAAAATAAGGCCTAAATAAATCCCCTAAAGCCTAAAACTGGTGTACTAAAAATCATAGCGGTTCGCATGTTCCGTTTTCTATTCGTGGATTCTCTGTTAGGTTAGGTTTGGGCAATTTAGTACATCAGTTTAGTGACTTTGTGAACGCTCGAGAGAATTGGCTGGTTCAGCAGTACTTGGTACCTATCAATGAAAGGATCGGCAAGTTCACACAATGTTTTAGTCAAATAAGAGTTTACCAAAATCTACTTTAATCGGTATTTGTCGTATAGTCTTCAAATAATTTGGTTAAGGAAATCATTTAAGGCAGACTATGAAAGCTTAAAATAATATGAATACAGTCTATGTGAATACTGTATAAATAATATGAATACAGACTTCCCTTTTCATGCTGGTTCAAAAAATAATGAACCAAAGCATTGAAATAATATAGTTTATACAATATTTTTAGTCACAAATTAATATTTTTCCAATAAATGAATATGTATATTTTATTAATCTCGTATTAATGAAAGCTTTAACGATTTTAATATATTAACAATTATATGAGATAAATATTATAATATCACATTAGTTACGTCATTCCTGTCACAAAAATAAATGTTAGTGAAGCCTCGAACAATGGTCACTATAGCAACCATTTATCAAACTGCAGACAAACGATGACTAGTCAGACTACGAGCAGGGTCGTCTTAACAACCTAGTTGACAGATCAACCAGGTGGGCCTGGTCTGAAACTGGGCCGCGGCCCAGTTTCTAATCCTCTAAACAACCTCAAGCTACAATGGTTCACCTTGTTTGAACCGTTGTAGAGGTTAATACAAATTATAAACCTCAGAGATCCAACAACGGTGTAGAACCAGTGTTGAACAACTCAACAACGACGATGAAGATCAACGTTGTAGACTGAGAACGACAACACCACCGGGATCTGCGAAGGCTAACACGATCGTTTTAGAAAATTGAATTAACATCGTTTATAAAGAGAAAAACAAGGGCGTGCTAATTTATATTACGAAATAGTATGATTAGTTAGGTTTTCAGAGTGACTTATCATAATATTGTGGAATAAATTGTGAAGATGTTTCTCGCCGCTCTTATGGTATATTACACTATGTTTTCATATTATATATTATCTAAGTTGCCGGAATGGATAACCGGCGGTGCCCAGGACAGTCTCTCGCTCTGAACCTCCCACATTCCACCTCTCTTCTTTTAACCCTTTCCCACATCTTCTCCCTCCCCTCTTCCACTCTTTTCCGCGCCTCCCGCTCTTCCCTCCCATTTCCCCCATATTACTCCTTCCCCATCGTCCTACAACACCCCACTTCCCATTTTTACCCATCTACCCTCCAACCTCTGACAGACAGATATTTCCATTTAATGATAGAAAACGCACGTGGGTCTCTCTCCCCCCCCCCCCTTCTTTCCATCTCAGTATTCCTTCATGTTCACCCTATCTGTTTTTTCCCTCGTGCCCGTCTTTCTTGGTTCTCCACTTTGTCCTTCCCATTTCATTCTCTCACCCCTCTTTCCTCCCTTTCATTTCCTCTCCTCGCGTTCTTTCATGTAATTTAATATTAAGAAGCACTGAAACAACTCCATGGGTCTCAGAAAATTGTTATGAAGAACGAAAAACTTTATAGTAAACACATAAAATATTTCATACTCCATGAAAATCACATGGTCTCTAAATGCTAATATGTCTTAAATTAACTTATGTCCGTCTAATGCACCTGACCATTTCCCCCTGCAAAGTTTTGTGAGGCTAGTCCTAAGCATCTGGCCTCCAACCATGGACAGATATCCTCGTATAGATATTCTACCTTGTGCCCAAAATGCAAGTTTGATTTAGACTGCTCTTCACCTGTTTATTCCATAACTGTATTGATTTGTATAAGTTCTTACGAATAAAATGTGTAATTCTGAATCACACAAAATATCACGAAGATGTTGAATAATGATGATAAGCGATGATGACCATTGACGACACAGAACGCAGGATGATTTTAATCCGCGTAAAAACCCTTTCTCACTTGAAACATATTCTGCAACACAAATTTCCAGGTGGTTTTTGCAACGTACCAGCCACCCAACGAAGCCAATCAGTTGCAGTTGTTACTGCCTCTGGCGCCTTGTGAGTTGC